ATTTTGTGTAGTCCTTATTCTATTATAAATTGGATGCACATGTTGGTTGGATTGTGTAACTGTTCAGTTTCTTGGATGAAACTAACATAATATGCTTATATTCTCCTAATACTAAATTACTAGAAAAATTCAACTTATCCTCTGGACAACCCACACTGTTTCTAATAAGAACTTTACTAAGTTCTTATTTTCTCACTGGGACTGAAATTCTTAAATATAGTCATTGAAACTGAACAAGCTTAAGTAGCCCATGAAGAAGGATTGTAAGATTTCTTTTTTTTTCTTTTCTTTTTTTTTTTTAGTTAAGTTGGACACAATAACTTTATTTTATTTATTTATTTTTATGTGGTGCTGAAGATTCAACCCAGGGCCTCCCAATGTGCGAGGCAAGTGCTCTACCACTGAGCCACAGCCCCATCCCCTAATGTAGATGTTCTTTGTTAACAGTTTTTTTTTTTTTAATCACTTATACTTGAGAATGTTATTTTAGCTGGATAATTTATGGTTAAAATAAACAGTCCTATAATTTGCACTTAAGGAAATGCATTGGTCTCTTCCAGGACAGATGTGCAGATGGAAGGTATAGAGAGGTGGTAGGATATGACCCATGGTATAGTTCTTCAAATCAGATGCTCTGGGGAGATTCTAACCAAGATTAGAAGTTTCCTCTCACATGAGATTAACTATTTCTAGCTCAGACAAGACTAAATCTTGCACTGAAAAATATGACTCCTAGATATTTTAATGGTTGGCAGTACTTTATTTAATTTCTAGACTGATTTTTTATGACCTAAACCTTAAAATCACTCATCCTTCTATAATTAAATGTGATAGATGAGAAGAGCTGCAGGCATTTCAGACTAACTTGCACACAATACAAAGATCAGAGATGTTTTTCCCTTAGATACATGAGGAAAACATGCCCCAAATTTATTCACACTAACTGTAACATGCATTTCAGTCCAGCCTATATGGTTAAAATGGACTCTTAACACTAACAGCAGCAGCACTCTAACTTCAATAAGGGCTACATCACTTGTTTCCACTATAACTTTAATAAGGGCTACAACACTTCTCTTTCTACTAGTAAGTTCCTGCACCAAGGACAACAAATGGCCGAAACATACATGTTGCCATGGAAAATAACTCCCATTGCCTCAGAAGCAGGATATGTCTATCAGCCTCAAGAAATACCAAATATCAATCAACCTTTAAGTCCAGTTACAAAAAAAAAAAAAAAAAAAAAATTGCTGAAACACAATGAAAAATTTGAATCTTCTCTATCCCAGACCCTCATCTTGCCTGAAAATCTTAAGACTTCAGGACTCTACCATCTAATCCCCTTTCCATCTCTGCATTCATAGCTCTCTAGCGTCATTCTCCAGCCACACAACACAGTGGTATCTGCTCACAGCATTTACACATTTTTTATTATTTAATGCTGCTCAGACTTGGGTTTTTTTTTTTTATAATTCAAACAGGGTTTTCTTCCTTCAGCATTTTATCAGGATGATAATCGCAATTTTGTGGTTTCAGCATCTCACAAAGCAAAACAATTTCTCCCACCCAAGAGACGACCTTTGTAATTATATCAAAACTAGGATCCCAAAAGTTCAATACTTGAGGTAACTCTGTATGATTTTTGTGAGCAGGGTGCTGAGGTAACAGTATCTTATAGAAATAAAGAAACAAAAATATAACAATTGTTTCACTCTAGAAGAGACTTTCTTTTATGGTCTTTTTGGCTTTTCCTAAATATCTTCAAATATTTTTCTAAATAATTTGCCAGAAGGTCCTAAATATCCTACCTACATGAATCAGAAATTATCTAAAACCTCTGCTGTACCTCCACATACATTTTAATTTTGTCCATGTTTTCCTAGACTTTTTCCAGGTTTTTACTTGGAAGCCTCTTAAAAAGAATCAGATAGTTTTAGTAGATTTTTGCTATTGTTGGGAAATAATTTTGTGCATAGACAGTTTGTGTCCATCTGTATTAGAGGACACATTTCATTGTCATACTTTTCTTGCTCTTAACATTTATTTAGAATGAAATTTAATGTTTTGAAGCACCCAAACAACATATGCTTCTGTTGTTTTTGCATTCATTCTCTTTACCTGAATTTATTTGCCAGAATGGGAAATAGCCACCCTGGCATGGTCATTTTATACACACATGTCCATTTTACATTTAGGGAGCAAATGATACCAGTAATTAACAAATGAATGAAATCTTAGACATTACTTAACCAGTATTTTAATTTATTTAATTTTATATTTATTTTCATTCATTTAATTAAAACAAAATTGGCACCTATTATTTCTGAAGTCCAGTCTAGGTGCCTAGAATACATCAGTGAACAAAACAAGCAGGAAAGTCCTGATCTTTTGTATTCTAGTAGGAGAATAAACAGAACACTTAAACTGAAAATAAGGAGCAAGGTAAGGGCCTCTGACTGTGCTGGAATAACAGATTGCAATTTTAAATAGACTCGTGAAAACAGGAACCACAGAAAACTGACAATACGCAGATGCTTAAAGGAGATGAGCAAGTAAGCCAGTGGAAATAATTGGCAGAGGAGGGCTCCAGGTAGGGGGAAGTCAGGGAGCATAATCTGGAGCGGGAGCTTGCCTATTTTGTTCCAGAAATAGTAGGCTGCTTCCACAGTTAAGAATGAAAACGTCAATAGAACCATCTCATTCAGTCTAATCTCCCCAACCCTGTAGTTAGCAGGTATGCATTCAGCCATTCTTCATTGTAATAAACATGTACATTCTTGTAAATAGTATTTTCAATTTTATTGACAAATTTTTGTACTCACCACATTTCTATGCATTTTTACAATGATTTTACTTTTTTTTTTTCATTATATTACAAACTTCAGGGTAAGGAACAGATCCTCTATTATATTTCCGAAAATTATTTTCTACACCCAACTGGTATTCAACATGTTGTCAACTTTAAGAAGGAATAAAAGAAGATTTAATAGTCTGAGTTTTAAAGACCCTAACTTAGTTCCACGAATTGCAACGGTCAAATCTTTTAGTCTTTGTCTCAGTTTCATATTGTGCAACTATAAGACAGTAAAATGTTACATATGTACTATATCACATAACTTAGATAAAATATGGAACTGACTTTGATTCCACAAATATATGAATAAGATATATGAGGAAAAGTTCAAAAATCTGAATGTAGTTCTTCAGGAAAAAAATGTAATTTGAAGAACACTGAGAAAATCAAATAACTGCATGGGGTGGCCAGTGATGACATTCTGTGAGCTATTGACCTGAATTTTCTGCTCTGATGCCCAGTTTTTCATCTGCTCAGAACTAGTCACCTGAATGGTAGTGTTTAGACCTCAAGGGAAACTTTGCCTTCCACACTGATCCATTTCATGCTGTGTCTATTTTAGAACAATGTCTCTCATGATTCTTGACCTTGCCAACTTTCATCGAAATTCACGACTTTCAGTCAAATGACAAGTCCAGCTCATGAATAATGTAGTTCCCTTGTCCTAAGATGTCTCTTAGGCCATATATCAGATTTTTTTTCTGATTTGTGTTAATCTGACTGTGATAAGCCTCAAAAGTGTTTTGTTGAATATATTTTATTCCAATATTTTATGACTTCCAAATTCCCATAAAGAACAAATTTAGGAGACTGATTAACAGTGAGAAATATTAAATGATATAATTCAGGAATATTAATTAATTAATTAATTAACTTGTTTTGTTTGTTTATTTATTTATTTATTTATTTTTGTGGTGCTGGGGATTGAACCCAGGACCTTGTGCATCAAAATTTAATTCTATTTTACGCATAAAGCTATATTGCTTTGAGTGACTTTGAGTCTACCTTTCTTGTAGATACAGAAATATAGAAAAAAAAATTATTTGATTTAGAGACTCATGAAGCATCCTCTTATTCAACCTCCTGTTACAAACTGTACATTGCCATTCATCATTCAAACATTCTTCATCTGTTTATGACCATCAATATGCCAGTGACCATACTAGTGCAGGGTTCTCTCTGCCTTTCAGGAATTCATGACCAAGTACAGAAGAAATAAAAGTTACATTCTACATAGGCCAAAGCTTTCCAGGATATTATGGTTCAAAACTTTGAAATAAAAAGAAATGGCCTATGCTTATTAAATTCATAAGAGCCAATGGATAAATATCAGTTATATAAGCCATTTGCCTATTTATGGATTTTAAAGTTAGTGAAATTTCCTTAGATTCTTGTGAGTATTCATAATCACTATTCAGGGAGACCTTCCCCAATATAATATGAGAAACCAAATTAATATTCAGAAGGTTTCAAAGTGAACATGGTTTTCAAATAATCCGAATATCCTTAAGCCGTTGGACAGACTATAATAATGAAGAACCAGCTTAACCCTTGCATCCCAATGTGCCTCCAGAGTAACTTAGTCAGTTTCTCTAAATGAATCTCTCCATGTGACAGTCTAGCACAGCCATATCTAGCTCCTGTTTCTGTCTCCCCAGGCTCTGTATGATTCTGAAAACACTTACTTTCTTCAGGTCAATTAAAATATATTTGTTTATGTTTGCATTAGTGCTTTTCATTCATTTGAGTAGGTAGAAACAGAAAGTTAACCCAAACTACTTTATGCTTTCTTGAGATTTACCTTAGCTGACTAGCTATCTCTTTCCAATACATGTATATATGTGTGTGTGTGTGTTGTATATGTGTGTGTACATATGTATATATGTACACACACATATATACACATATTTATATACATACATATTTATATATGTGCATGTTTATGCTTCATAGTATATCTTTACATATATGTGTGTATACATGCATGAATTTCTATGGTATATTCACCATTTTAATATATTGACTATTCCTTAGGCATACTGTGTATTTGATATATTTAATTATACTGGTATTTGCAGTAAGGTATTAGAACTATTATGCCTAATTTTTAAAAATTTTTAAAAATGACTTCTTTGTTTCTTTCCAGGTTGTAAAAATGATGATCATCGTTGTGGTGACATTTGCCATCTGCTGGCTACCCTATCATATTTACTTCATTCTCACTGCGATCTATCAACAATTAAATAGATGGAAATACATCCAGCAGGTCTACCTGGCCAGCTTTTGGCTGGCAATGAGCTCAACCATGTACAACCCCATCATCTACTGCTGTCTGAATAAGAGGTAAAAAATGAACCCACCCAATCAAGCTTTTTATCACCCCTGCCTTTGCTGGAAGTACATGTTGTGCCCGTTTCTTGGTGCTAATTTAAAATACAGAAAGACAGGAGAATGTAAAGATCTGCTGAGAGGAGAACAGAGATTGGTTTTTAAGGAGTTCACCCTACTTCACAAAATGTCACATTTAAAAATTACATGCTCAAAACAGTGTTTGAAGAAGTTATAATTGGACATTTTTTGTATGTGGGCCACTTCTCTCTCCAAACTCTTCAGAATTTTACCTGCCAAGGAAAAAGAAATGATTAAAAGTGGTGAATTGAAAATGTATTCGAATCTTCAAGGAAATAAAGGTGCACAGATAATGCCTATAAGATTGAGAGTTGATGACTTAGGTGAATGGGCTGTGTTAGAAAAGATGTCTCATAAACCGACTTTAAAATAGATGTTGCTGTGAGAGTGAGATAACAAACAGGAAGGACAAGGAGAATCCTAGTCTCCTAGTCCTCCTTCCCATGAAACAATGAGGGGTGATTTCTAGAGGATGCAGCTTCCACTGAGATGGATTGTAAAGAAGTCAGGGAGAAAGGGAAAAATGTTCATAAAGCTTTTAAAATATCAGGACACTTAGCCAGGAGTGGTGGTGCATACATGTAATCCCAGTGGCTCAGGAGGCTGAAGCAAGAGGATCACAAGTACAATGCCAGCCTCAGCAACTTAGGAAGACTCTTTCTCAAAATAAAAAGGTCTAGGGATGTTCTTCAGTGGTCAAGCACCTGATACAAAAAAAAAAAAAAAATCAGCACACTTATATTCAAATTTAAGACTAGAAAAAAGGAGCCTGACTTTGCCTGGCAAAACAACAGATGTGATTAGGTTTTTCAGCCATTGTTATCTCAAGAAGAAAAAATGAGTTAATTGATTTGGGTCTACCCTTGTCTTCTCTGTAGGGAAGTTAAGATCACAGATACTAAAGTTAAAATGATCTAGGTTCAAATCCACAACTAGTATTCCAGCTATGTAAGCATGAAATGTTCTCTGAGCCTGAGTTTCCCCACTTGCAACATAGAACATAATATCAACTTCAAAGGTGGTTGTGAGATTAAATTAGATAAAGTATGTGAAATTTTTAGCACAATGATTAGAATATAGAAAAAAATGAGATTACAGGTCTTTTAGTGATCAATGCATAAATAGCATACATATTATCATATCAGTGTTGGTCACCTATGGTCAAATAACAGTAACTTCTCATTGAAATTTACTTAGATAGGACTTTTTTTTTTTCTATTTTTCACTAAGAAGCTATCACTTTCTAATGAAAAATGAAAATGAGACATAATTTATACATCTGCTTATGTGAACAAAATGAATTTCGACTGCAATAAAATTACTTTAGCCCAAAAAAAGGACTACAAAAAAAGTAAAATGTGGTTATCAGATTTAAAAAAAAAAAAAAAAACTTGTTTCTATGTTCCACAAATAGAGTGGCATGCCTAAATTTCACAAAGTTGACAATGTCCAGGAGGTTTTATGCACTAATAGAAATGGGTCTTAATAAAAATAGCTGCATAAGCCAAATCCTAAACTCTCTTCCCAGTTGGGGCTCCACCACACTGTGCCTTAAGTTTGTTAAATACTTAATTAACTCTTACTCTTTTTTCACTAATTGCATAAGTCACTTAATTTAAGCTACCCCACAAGCAACACGTTGCTTTTAAACTTCATTTAATCATCTGCCAAAACAAGGATTTCACTCTTTCACATATAATTAGGTTAAAAACCATTAAGATTAACAATTAATTCTACCATTAAATGATGTTATAATTTATAAATGGGAATTATTTGTGGAGAAGCTATTTTTAAACACAGTATTCCATTTGAAGTGTTACAACCAGCCATATTAATTCAATTATACTTATGTAAATGTATAAAATTAGTGCAGAAAACTAGTTTCTTTGGCATATTAATAACCTGGTGTTTTTCCTTTTCTATTTGATGACTTCCTTCTCAATGATGAGAAATTAAGATTCTATTCAAACAAGAACTGAGAAGACTAATACTAATACCATGGCATAGGTTCTGAATTTGGGTAGAAAATCAGGCTTAACTGCCTTCAGTAAGGTTTCCTATGGCAGCTGGAGAAAATGTCCATTATGAAAACATAACTTTTTCTTTCTGTGGCCCTCTTCTCCTCAGATTTCGAGCTGGCTTCAAGAGAGCATTCCGCTGGTGTCCTTTCATCCAGGTTTCCAGCTATGATGAGCTAGAGCTCAAAACCACCAGGTTTCACCCAACTCGGCAAAGCAGCCTGTACACCGTGACCAGGATGGAGTCGGTGACAGTGGCGTTCCACCCCAGTGACACCGACAACACCAAATCCACTCGGAAGAAAAGAGCCACACCCCGAGACCCCAGCATCAGTGGCTGCTCCCGCGGGGATTCCAAGTCGGCCTCCACCACCTCCAGTTTCATAAGCTCACCCTACACCTCTGTGGAGGAGTATTCATAAGGCCATTTCCTGAGGTGAAAGATTTGTGTGAGGCCATCACGGTGCCAGCATAGGTCCCCGTTCTCCTGCCTATCATCAGTATTGTATTGCATACCCTCTGGAAGCAGGAGGATGACTTTATTTAGGCAGCTATGTTTAAGTCAAGAAAGAAAGCATGTAAATATAACAAAGACCCTACTAAGATATTAAGCCTTCCCCCCACACACAAGAAAAATAAATGAACTGGATGTAAGTACATTCTTTAAAAACTCTAAATTATTATATGCAGCAAAAAATATATATCTAAAAAATACTTGAGGGCTGGGGTTGTATAGATGAGTGCTACAGCGCTTGCCTTGCATGAGTGAAGCAATGGATTCAATCCTCAACACCACATAAATAAATAAAACAAAAGTATTGTGTCCATCTACAACTAAAGAAATATTTTTAAAAACCTTGACAATTGTCAAGTTTCTCTCATTTAAAAACTACAGTATACATTTGTGATACTAAAATGACATACAGTTTTCCCAAAAGATTAAAGAAGCTTTAAAATATATTTTGAGTAAGGAAAAACAAACTCTACATAAAATGAAACTTTTCATCTACAGCTATAGAATGGAAAAGTTCAATGGCTCCTTTTCCCATAAGAGTGATGGAAAATTAACCTCAGAAAATAGGAAGTAATAAAAAACCTTTTTCAAGAAAATTCATTTTGTGGCATGAAAGCTGTTAAAGGTTTAAAGATTTCCTGCAAGACACTTAACAGAAAATAAAATCACATCAAGTCATTAGGCAGATAGACATATTATTCTCTGAATTATTTTTTCTGAGAAAGTGACTTCAAAAGAAAAAAATAATCACCTAATTTTGACTATGTATTTTAAATGCTAATCTATGATATAGTCAACTTGAGAACCTTAAAAGGACAAAGAGAATTCCTAGATTCTTCTGTTTTATTTTTCACAGATTTTTAAAAATTACGTAGATTATATAATACTAAAGATGCCTTCTAATGCAGAAGAGGAGAATCCCATTTGCCTCTATAATTAGCTACCAATTATTAGACAAGAACTACAGAAAGTCATTCATAGGTATGAAGAGACAGAAACATCTGCTAGCTTCAAAGGCAGATGTTTGTCACCTCTAGTCCAAGGAAAAAGTTTTAGAATTAACTTTATCAATAGTACTGTGTACTTTTCTACTCCCCTAATTTAAAAAGAAGCAAGGACTAGTGGAACACATCAGAATATGTTTCGAGTGCCAGTCTTTATGGGGAAAAAATGTTGTAGGAGTTAAAGAAGAAAACGTAACTGAAAATACTACTATACCTACAAGTAAATCAGAAAAGATGTAGAGAGGTAAGTCAAGTGCTAGAAACAAAAGCTTTAGAATAGTTTGGATACATATGAGCTAATTAATGTCAGGTGAGCAAGAGAATAACAATCACCCTTTCACACAAAGACCTCTTCCTTGTTTAGCTAACCCCAACTTTCTCTGGAAAGAAATAAAGCCCTTTTATTACCAGAAAATTGATTGACAGATGATAGATAAATAGATAGATAAACAAATAGATGGATATGTAGGCACATTTCTGAGACCCATAACAAAACAATGAACAGCTGAGTAAAGAATTTATCTTCCAGACCTCAGTCCTTAGAAATCATCTTTCCTTAAATTGGGAATACTGTCAATCCTGTCCAATAAAATCACAAACTTTCTGAGAACGTGGATGTGTAGTTTAAAACTTCTTTAAAATATCATTACATTTTTAAAATTGTCCAAATAATTACCTGTAACATTTTACTTGACTGGTCAATATTAGAACCAATATCTTTTTGAAGAACAAGATAAAAGCAATTATTCAATGGCAAATCATGGTAGATTGCTATCATATTAATCTTTCAATCCTCCTCCCTATTTTGGAGCCAAAATCAATCAATTGTTTCAACGTGTTAAAAGTCTAAATAACTTAACCAGATGTGTTCGAGTTGAATTTCTTTTAATGATACCAATAAACAAAAGGAAGCATATAAAATGCATACATGAGTGTTCAGGCATATATTATTGTACAATAAATATAACAACTTTTAAAAAATTAAATTAAAAATTAATTTTGAAATAGTAAATGGTAATTAGAGGGTTGTCATAAATAAATCAGTAAAGTCCAGGAAGCTTGTGTGCATGTTTTAATCAAATTTCATTATTTAGTATCTAATTGTTTGAATATAATGCCTTTTTTAATGTTCATATTTAAAAATGTTAATGCTTATCAAACGTAAAAATGTCAAAAAAAAAGTCTAGTATGTAAATTCAGGTGTAACTTTCTTCTTAAATATACGAATGATATGGGCCTGGCATAATTAATGTACAGGACACATGGGAAATATTTAGCTATAGAATACAAATATGAAGTTTGGCCTTCAAATTTCATATCAACAGCCACCACCCAAAATACACTTGAAAAATCTAACTCCTGGCCTTCACACCTGTTAGGAAAATTCAGTGGAATTTGCTAAGACATTTCTGAGTAAAATTATTGTCCTGGTCAGTTTTGTTTGTTGGTTTGAATTTTTTTTTCCCTTGAGTAGATTTGCTGTTCCTTCACTGAACACCATCCCTTCTAGTGAAATAGAAATACTTGAGGCCTGATGGTATCTTTTTAATACTTTTGAGGAAAATTGACATCATTCATTCAGTATTCATGACTCTTAAACCAAGATATACAAGGCAGAGTTTAAGTTCAAAAATGTAATCAATAATAATAATGAAGTAAATGAATGAAAGAGGTAAGAGTTTCAATCTTTTGTCTGAATCGACACTAAGGATTACAGAATAGTACATATGGAAATCAGTTTCAACAGTAATCACTCTAAATAAATAAAAAAAATCACTTTAAATCAGTGTTTCATATTTGCCAGGTTTTAGAAGAATTTGCCTCCAAGATTCACTGTATGCTGATATTAAAGTTCAGCATGAATCTTCATTGTTTGCAAGAAAACACTGACTCAGAATACTGAGTAGATAGATAAAATGTCATAGGTTTTTTATTTAAGATTTTGCTCAACATCAGAAAAATCTGAAATATTTTGAGAGAAATCTGAAATGTCTTGCATCATTTTAAATATTCTCTTTTTAAAAGAAAAAAAGCAAATGAAAATATTATGTTTTTTATTATTTTGCATCTGAACAAGGTGTTTGAAATTATCTGCAAGGGAAAAGCAGATAAACATGGTTCTTGTATAATCTGATCTAACATCATTTTTTATTTATTTATTTTTTGGGATTTTTTGGTGGTTCAGTGTGCTGTTTCTTTATTCCACTATTCCACCTCCCAACCTCATAATAGTGACATTTCTGACCTAGCAGCCAAATTCATATTCTATTCCAGTTCCTGAAAATCTCTTATAAACAGACATCTGACTTCAAAGTACCTCCAATCTTATAACACATACGAAATACCAAGAAGCATAGTGTCAAGTATCAAGATTTGGAAACACAAGATAAATGTGAAAAATCAATGAAGGCCAGCTCAAAATTTGATTTCACTTTTGTTAATACAGAATTTACTTGGAAAACCTTTGATTAGTGTTTGATAAATTACTCCATCAAATATAAATTTGCAGCTAAACATCTAACAGTAACAATTTGAGTTCCATTTGTCTTTGACAAGGTGCCAAAAGTTCAGGAAATCAAGCATGACACTGGCCTAGTAGAATAATAAGATTGTAATAATTTTCCTTCAAGCCAAACAGGAATGGAGAATAATGTCCACTCGAGCTATACAAGGTCATTAATTGTGTGATTTAATATATATATATATATATATATATATATATATATATATATAGTGGAAAATATATGCATACAAGAAATAAATGTATATAAAAGTTGTAGCTAGTGAACATAGTATTTTCAAGTGTGGTAATCATACTGAGTATGTTTAATCAATTGATGTCCTTTGCATATATGGTATTATGTAATAGATTTAATTTCAGTATTTTTCTTTGAATACATTAAAAATGATATGAAAAATTAAAAATACCAATTTTCCTGTTGGTTATTAAAACATATGTAATGGAGGGTCTCATCTTTTGTAAACATAGTCACCTAACTATCACACAAAACAACGTGTGCTACCTCCCTTTCTTTTCATCATAAAAATGTCCAGTTTTTGTAAGTTTCCTGGATTCAAACAAATCATTTAAGGGAGCAAAGTTATCAAGGTACAGAAAAATTATTCTGTAGAGGGAATAGGAGCAAAGAAACAGGAATAGAACCTAAAGCATACGTAGCCGAGTATAGAGCATTTTATAACTATGGCATCCAGCCTATTCCCAGCAACAGACTCCAGTTTAAATTTGAGCCCCCTAATGGATATCTGGGGGACTTTGAGTGTTTGATTCTCTGCTCTGAGCCTCACTTAATGTACCTGTAATAAAAAGAAATATAATAATTTCCTCAGAGAGCTAATGTGAGGGTTAAGTGAGTTAATATATAAAAAGGACAAAGCCAACCAGGAAAAAAAAATATTTAAAACATCATCATTATTATTGGGAGCATGTAGAAAAATATTAGACAAACCCTTTTTTGCCTGTACCATTCTACCTCCATACAAAGCTCTTTGAGGAGCTATGGGAAGACTTAAGGACTTTTATCACTTGACCCTGGGCTGTTTTCAGAGTTCCAATGAGAACTCATGGTTTGTATACATGTGTTCTGGGAATTTGCTACCTGTCCCTGGTCCCTGAATATGGAAAGCTATATAGGTGAAGGGTTGGACATGGCCAATCAACAGAAGGAGTGCCTTTCAGCATGTAAAACTAAATTCACTTCTTTAGAGAGATGCAGGTAAGTATGGTTATATGCAGGTTCAGAAATAAGAATGTTAACCATTAGAGGCTGATAGATAAGGGAGAAAAGGCAGAAAGTTTTCTTTCAAAGTTTACTTTGAAGCTCCTCTGACTTAAATCTTAGTGTCTCCTACCTGGTGCTCTGAGCATCAGTGCCCAGGAACATTTCCAGTTCAGGTACTAACAATGACCCTCACTGCCTATGATTCTAGCAGTCACAAGGACATCTCCCCTGACCTAGTCTCTCATTCCAACTTTCAATGCAAGCCAAGCATCCTCTACCAATTCCTTATAACAGGGGACAGAGAAGAAAGACATTTTTATTAGCTTATCACACACTCAGAGCATTAAGAAAT